CAATAAAAGCCAGAAACGTTTTAAAACAAATGTGCTTCCTGGTTTATCCTCTACAAATAATAGTTTCAGCTCCTCGACAGTTCAAAATTCACTAACCCAAGAGATCTCTTCAAAATATAAAAATACAAGAATTGTCCAATACGGAACCTTGGAATCACAACAAAAACCTATCCGAAAATCGCCACAAAGGCATAAAACTACAAGCCTAACAAAAACCGCCCCTGATTCAACCCTCTCCGTTCAAATCTCGGGGGTAGAGAATGTCAATCAAAATATTCGTTAATGGGGTGCGAGATACCGCTTAGGATATTAGATAAATACGAGCGAGGCAGCCGGTGATAACGATAATGTGCCTTAGGGACCAGGGGAACTCCAAGTGATGACTTTATCTCCAAAACTGAGTTATGATGTAGCGTTTTAGGGTTATTAGAAAGAGTCTCTACATTTTCTTTCTTTTTTGTTTCACTTAACAGTTCGTGTTTGAAATGGGAAAATTATGCGGGTCTGTCACATGGTATTGCATTTTTTTTATAGCATAAGCCGGTAAACGAGCAGACGGATCACCTGATGGTAAGCAATCGACGCCGCCCATGGACACTCGAAACACCAAGGCGTTCCAAGTGCGGCCTTTTGGGAATTGGGAATTTGAGTATTGTGAAGGATTCACGGATTCGGAATCTGAATGAAATTCGGAGACGGGGACTAGAGAGGGGGGTAATTGGGCCTCCGGTAACCTCACTCACACGACGAAACACAACGCAAGCGTTGCTTCACGTCGGTTTCTGTGAGGCCGTGGCCGTATCACTCCGGTCGAGCCGGCCCATTTGTGCCGAAGCATGGCTCTCCCACACTTAAAATAACACTTAAACTGTCAAACACCAAGCGGTCACCGGTGACCGCAACCTATTGTTCTATAATTGTGTCTATAATGACGGTACTCGACGAGTTTGAAGGCAAACGAGCAGTCGGGTTTCCTGATGGTAAGCTATCAGCGCTGGCCATGGGCAGTTGCAACACCAAAGAGGTCATAGGTGAATTCCCAGCCTTTCTAGAAGGAGTACGCCCTATTCTTGAAGGTCGCTGCTGGTTTGCATAATAAACACATTTTCACCAATTACAAATGAGTCCCGTATACGAACACATGAACTAGGAATCTTAACCATTGCTCAGCAGTCGCGTTTTTGACTATTACATCAACACAGCAACAGACAACGACTTCCAAACATGCACACACACAAACACATACACACACAGGTGTACCCTACATAAGCATGTAGGTAAATAGACATAATCCGCGGGTACATTTGTCACTGTATTTAATCCGTTCCCATCCACAGGATTAAGTCCGTCATGCGAAAAGAAATTACTTTGGAGCTCATATTTTGAATATTTTTCGCGTACACATATGTACTTAGTCCTCCCCTATTCCTCGAAATGAGTTTAGGCATGTCTAGTATCAATTTAAGCAATATTTTCGTACTAATTTTAAATCTGAAAGGAGTTACATGGAGCCAAAGTAAGAAGTTCTTCGAATATCTCCCATGTTGCAATATTATTATGTTGCATTGAACCTGTGCTTACAGAAAGTTTACTCTATCCGGAAAACAAATAGTATGATATAACATCAAGCCTTTTATCCCCGAAGGAGTAGGCAGAGGTACACATTATCTACGGCACTTAATGCTATGTACAATGTATGTACAATGTAACACCCACTTTTCACTATAGCGCGTAGTAGGGGGTGAGACTATTGCCATATACCACGCATAATTCCAGACTCCGTGCTACTACAGAGATTTTTTTTCAAATCCAGTAATACTTTTCCCGACCCAGGAATCGAACCCGATACCTCTTGCCCGGCAGTCGCACTTGCGACCACTCGGCCAACAAGGCAGACAAATAGTATGACTTGGATAATTATTAAAACATTCTTACGTTATCGGTAAGCATAGCGCAGAACATCCACCTACAAGTTGAATGGACGACCAATAATAAAGGTGCAGGGAGCCGCTGAATGCAGGATGAACCAGGCGAGATAGAGGTCAAACGTCGCCCCATCAAATTTAAAAAAAATGCAAGTCGCTTCTAGCCGGTCTGGAAGCTTCTGGAATTTATTAATTTTAGTCTTACATTATAGTAGTTTGGGATCAAATAACGTATTTTGGATGACGTCTTACTATTTTGGAGCAAGATTTTTGGTAGTAATATTAATCTTTGAGTTGGATAGAATTTGGTGACCGTTGATCCATTTTAGGAACCAAAAATAATATTTGTGCAAGGTTTTTGATTTTTCTGATGTTATTTCATTTATTTTTCATAATATTATATAGTTTAGGGCCCTCATAATAGAGTCAAATAATTTTTTTTGGAGTTGTTTAGTTTATTTGGTGCCTAGGCTTAGTCTTAAAAATATTTTTTGGTAGCCGTCTAAATTATACCCATAAAATTATCTCTATTATTACTTATCTCCATCTCAAAATACATCTCTATCAAGGATGACTTTCGATTGATATCTTTATCCTAGTTATCTTTGAATCTAAAGGAGATGGTAATTCCTATAACAGTTAGTTATTGAGTGTCTCATTAATTCCTATAATAATATTGTATCTTGTATAGTAACGCCCACTATATACTATTAGTAGTCTACATTATTGTATTCTATGGTTGTTGAAAGTTCATTGCCCTGAAAAATATTTATAGTCAACGTTTTCCAACTTATAGTAAAATTAAATTTGAATAACAATGTTTGAATGACTCATGATGGCTTTGCAATTTTTAGGCGACTGTTCTAAAAAGGAGTTTTCCTCGAGTAATTTTGTCATCGATCGAATGATCCAAACGCTGATGATAAACATGGGATCTTTGAATCGATTCTAATTCGTGTAATTTATTTTTTGGATATTCTAATTTCGTAATTATAGTTTCGCATATTGCGTTACAGTACACAAATATCTGACTTATGACAAATAGAAGTTAAGTATAATAATGAAATTCCCGGAGATTAAATTAAATTAAATAATACTTGACCAGATCCTAAATTACAAACAAACTCCTCGTGGCTAGAAGCCAAAGTAAGTGACTGTGTGAAGTGGCCTAAGGTTTGACGACCACTGACCATCAAACATACTAGACATGGCTTAACAAGTAGTGTACAAGTCCGCAAACCTCAAAAATATTTAAACAATGTGGTAAAAACTGCAATCAGCCGTTACCCTAATTCACGAATTTTACCCTGAAACATTACCCACAGCCACGACGGTGACTTATCAAATCTTACATCCGTCTGCTAATGGAATCGACAATCGACTGACTAACCCCCCCTCCCCCCAACTCTGATCGATCGCAGCTTTTAAGAATATTACTTTGTGAAAAAACTTCATTTGTATTCATTGCTCATTCTAATCTGCGCCTTATTCTTTGTGAGATTAGGTCTTAAATTCGTGGGTGGTGGTGGGGAGTTGGGACGTTTTGTTGGGGATGGTTGGTCCCTAAATTGGGGGCTGATTGTCAGTGCACATTAAACACGGTGTATTGTCAGTGTGTTGCCGACGACTGATCAAGTTGAGGGAAATCGTTAACGTGTATTGATGATGTTGAGCGGAGCTCTCCTCAAAGGGATTTACTTTTTACAACTGTCTCGTTGATACACTGATAAGCATTATCATTAGTCATTCAAGTACTGCTTTGATTCTCCTTTTAATGTGCCACCTTCAAAGATTGCTGTGCTTGCAAATATTTGTATTTCTGTACAAGCTTCTTTTTTTTAATATTTGATAGGCCGATGTTTGACCATTATCTCGCGCGGTGGTAACCGATGATGCGGCCAACGATGGAGTACGTCGTCCCATGAGCAACCTATTCACTCAGGCCTTGAAGACTTCCAAGTTAACTTCAGGAAATACAGACTTTGGCAAAGAATTCCACTCCTTAGCAGTACTCTTAAAAGCAAAAGCTGTGTTTTATTTTAATACCTTATAGGCTATATATGGCACGGTATATTATTGACTTACTACATAATCACATGATACTACTGTGATGTCGGTCAATTGGGGGTACTTTGATAACATTAATTATTGTATGTGTGCGGCAGCCAGTCTGCGAATATACGCCTTGTAGCTAAGTCGTTGTTTGATTACGATTCCGATATTTCTCAACTACGATAGGCAAGGCTAAGCTATTCATCATCTCCCTAAGCTATTGCAATACTGGTCTGATATCACGTCCCTCAGTTCAAGCTATACCCATTGGCTTTAAAAACTCACAGAAACTGCACGAAATCTAGAATTCAAGACTAGCAACAAACGGATATCTTGTAAACTATTTCTGCAACAAAAACTATCCAAGGTTCAATGACATATAACACCAAACAGCTCAAAACTAACGCAGTATTTCGTTCGTGAAAAATCGCTCAAACAATTCAGTCCCGGTTTACCCTGACCCTCACGTTGTCTTACCCAACTGTTGACACATGACAACTATTCCCGAACATATTGAGCTCCAAGTGTTTGAAATTCCATTCTTATGTGATCTCCGTTTCATTCAGATCTCCGTTGATATTTTGGACTTTGTATGGATGCTTCTTTCTTTAGTTACGTGATAGTGTGACAGGTTTCTCTTCCTACGCATGTAGTAGACAATCATCGGTCTTCATCCACGTGTTAGGCTTGAGGCTTGACCGGTTATAGAGCCATTCATGGTGTATAGTGCGTGGGTACATATTCCAACATCATGGTTTAAGTATAAGATAAATTAGAACCAACCCTGTTATCTAACGTGTAACGTCGCTTATGGCTTGATGAAGAATGAAAGATTTTGTCGTATAAACTTTGAAAAGATTAAATTGCTATTGTAAGGGGTGACCAACGTCTATACTCAATTGAAAGATAAGTTAAATTGAAACCTACATTGTCAGATGACCTTAGTTAGACTCGAGGTCTTACCTACCGTTAAAGTTACTCGTGAAATTAAATTATTTAATATCAATTTTCTTTTGTCCACAGACACAGTAACATCTCGTCGTCCGGAGCCCTATTTCGGCCGCCTGATTGGTCGGCTCACACAGTATGCGCACGGTATCAGAGGCACCGTGTACGCTGTGGACGAGAGTACAATCTTTGTGCGCGGGTTCGCGTACGACGGGACAGGTCCTGATGCGTATTTCTGGGTGGGGGACACTCCTCAACCAAGCCCTGAGGGTATACTCGTCCCCTACCCTGAGGATTATACTACAAGGTTAGTATCATAGCTAGTTATTTTTTTTTAATGTTTCAACTCGAATTTTTTATTACTTCCACTGTCACACCTTTATTGTCTTTTTTATATTTTACTAGCTTTTACCCGCGGCTTTGCTCGCGTCACAAAAGGATAAAAAGTAGCCTATGTGACATATACCAATAGACACAGCGCCATCTATACCAATACTTTTTGTTTTCCCTCGGGAATATTAATTTTTTCCGGGATAAAAAGTAACCTATTATTTAATCCGGAATTCTAACTTTACGTCTGCAAAAATTCAAAGCAGTCGGTCTAGTAGTAACGGCGTGAAAGCGCAACAAACAAACAAACTCACTTTCCGATTTATAATATTAGTAAGGATTTATCCGGCATCATGCCTAGTGCTGAATAAATGTTTTTTCTGTCTTTCTTTCTTAAACTGTCAAACACCAAGCGGTCACCGGTGACCGCAACCTATTGTTCTATAATTGTGTCTACAAAACCGGTACTTTTTTTTTTAAGTAAGTTGGATATACCGGCACTCTCATTTACCAGACAAAACATAGTAACGTTACATCACTAGTTTACGGTCGTAATCTGTAAGAAGGCGGTACTTCCCCGGTCGAACCAGTTCATTCAAGTTGCATATTATAACTACGAGGCTACTATCAATAATATTTAAATTTAGTCAATCGATCTGACAACGTGTTCAAATAGAATCGATTTTCCCGATTCTAATTCGAGAATCGGTTACACAAGAGATTGTGTAGCTCGGTTGAAACTAACTCTTGTATTGTTACTGGCTAAAGTTAAACTTTCATTGATAAAGTTTCATCCACTAAAGGTCGAGGGTTCGATCCGCTAATGAAGTTGTGTTCAGTTGTCAGCTCGTCAAACTATACCTGTCTGTGAAACTGAAATAGATTTTCAATCTGATTCTTTCTACCTGTTTTTAAGGCATTTTTGTTTTAACGTTGGTTACTGCATCATTTTCATATATATCTCCTAATTAAGATAAAGTAATAGGGTTGCCAGCGAATGAAAATTAAAAATCTACCTCTAATTACTCCGTCAGTTAGATAATGAAAAAATATTAGACACGTATTGTTTTTATATTCTCGTATTAAGTTACAATACTTAGATAAAATGGAGTTCTTTAAGTTTAGGAGTGGGAGGTCGTTACGTCACTAAGTGCTACAAAATGTAGCGTATCATGACGTCACACGATATTTCAGATTATTATATCGTTGAAAGTATTTAATTTTGTGAGAAAAAGAAATATGTGTGTAATGTTTTAAATTAATCTACCAGACGGACATTAAAAAAATTTAGGCAACAATCCTATTAAGACTTTGACTGCCAAAAAAAACTGTTGAAGGTAAATCCTCCGCTAACGCCGGGCACCGGTGACCCCCATGGCGCTTAACGTGTTAAGGTTCCTTTTTCCTTAGACCACACGGCTACTTTAATACGTGCACCTTTGTCAGCTTTGAGAAAAAAAACATATATAATGAATTCCATTCTCAGCCATATTCTTTTCTACTCTCTGATCGAGTAGAAGTTTCTTTCCTTGCGAGCTTACTGTTCAATATCGATTTATTTTTTACTACAATATAATAATTACGATGAACAAACACTACAAATATTACAAGTGAACCTCTTGAATAATAACAAGGTGCTCGTTATAATATTTTGACAAATTGACGTGAAGGGGGAGCTCCTTGAAGTAATTCCTCCGCTCTTGTTCCAACAAAATTATTGATCTATGAAATATTTTATTATTTTATATTGCCAAGAGATTTTTTACCATTTGGAAAATCACTATGATGTATTTCACGTCATATAGAAATGAATTAGTGAACTAACAAAGTCAATTAAAGCTTTCGGACCGAAATAAGAATTTTAAGGAGGCCATACACTCTAGGTTATGCATGATGGTTATAACTGTGCATGCAAAACCGACAAGCATAACTGAGCACCGATGCACCGATAACAGTACAGTTTAATCACATACACGCTAGGGCTTGCCTGTCGGGTATGCATGCATGGATAACCATCATGCAAAACCTAGCATGTATGGCCTCCTTAACTCCTTAACTCTAAGTCTTGCAGAATTGGTCCTGTAGTAATGTACCCAAGTACTTCTAATAGATTTTTTAACGGACACAATTTCACAAATATAACATTAAACTACAGTACTTAACTCGAACAGATTATAGCAAAGTCGTGGTTGGAGCTTACACAACAACTGACAACATTATTTATGAAAATACAAAACCTATTACCACGTATTACCATTCTATTTTGAATAACATTCGCATAATGCTCTCCATCCTTCCCTATTCTGAAATATTCACTCGTAGACGCCACATTCGTCAAAATGCCACCAACTTAGTATTCAAGAAGCGAAACGAAAACGAAATAAATTCGTCGTCGATCTATGAGCGGCCCCCTAGTTCATTATGAGCGGGACCTTACTTCATTCTGAGCGGGACCCTGGCCCCTGTCTGCGTAATTCAAGTACAACGTTATTTAAATAAGTTCAAATTAATTTAGATAAGTGCGCTTTCTTACTGTGTTGTTGGGGAACTTGTTTTGAAGAGGAAGGTGTTGCATTTGATTCTCATATTCAATTTGGTAATTCGTATTTCGTTGTAGTAGCCCGACCAGATGTAGACCAGTGAGTGTTAGATCTGATGTTGTGGCATCGGTGTTAAGCGTTTCTCTTGTCGCTCAACACTTCAAAAAAATCATTTGAATTAAATGAGAACTTTTAAACAATAAAAACCCTTTATCAGTCAGTCACTCTGTGGAGCTATTTAAATAGATGGAGTAGAACGTGGTGTTGAAACTATTTTTTTCATAATAGAAATAAGTATAACGAGATATATGTATAAAATGAAAAATTATGGTGCTACATGACTAGTTCCAACGATCATAATGAACATAGAAATTTATAGTTAGACTTTAGAACTAGCTGTAATAACTACGACACATTAAAATCAATAAAATCGTGTCATAACGTTGTGACCTGTCTGTAACTATAATCACCTCTACTGCTTCAGTTATAAGGTCTGTTTTTGGTATCAACCAGCTTGGAGCTTCCGTATAATCGACTGGACAACTTAAAATCCTTTTAGCAATGACAAATGTATGACATTGATGAGGTTTTTCAAAGAAATCGGTTTTGTTTGTGTTCGTCACATATATGTCGGGTCATAACCTCGACCAGTGAATACGGAATATTACGTTTTATGGAAATTTTATTGCATACACTAACGAACTGTTTGTAAAAGATAGGCATACCTATTAAGAAAAATATCGGTTTTTCTTGGAAACCTAGGTACCTAGAATTCTCAGTTTATATTAATTTAATTATCAGTTTTGAGCCACAAAACAGTGACATAAACTCCGTTTATAACAAAGCTTACCACTGCCACTAATTACGATAAAAAAGAAAAAGAAACGTTCAAAATTCCAAAATAAATTCTCGTCTGTCTGAGAAAAATTCGAATAAAAAAATATCTCAACAAAAAGTTAACATGAAAGGAACGCGACAGGAAAAAGCTTTGCAAATACAGGATAATACTTGAGACACCCCATCCCTTACATCCTCCGTAATTATAATATCTTAGGCCCAGTATACACTGGCGGCCAAAGGAGCTTGACGACGCATCGCGCTTGCCAATAAAACATCCCGTTTTCATCCATATGCCATAGTAGTTAAGGTTTACATTAATTTTATTTATTCCCAGTATCTTCGCCGCGTCTCCGCCGGTGTGCGCTGGGCTTTAAGGGATGGGACACAAAACGATTTGTTATTTGGGGGGGATGTTAAAAATATGAATAACACAGTAGTAAAATTGTTTGATAATTAAATAATGATAATTATAGGGGATGGTAATGTTAATGGGGGCTTAGAAGAGGGGAGTATTCTCCGTCGTTAGCAAAATAAAGGATGTCATTACTTCCTTGTTGCCCAGTTGTTAAAAATGCGTAAATTGTAGTTAAGCGTTCGTCCTTTTTAAAGGTCGTTTTCAGCTTTTTGTTTTCCTTCTTCGTTTGTTTTTTAAGTAAATAAGTGATGATACTAATGATAGCCTGTTGTTTAGAGATCTGAATCTTAGTTTCGCGTTCCTATTTGAAGTATATTCTATAGAAAATATTAACTAGTGGCTTAATAATA